GCCATCTTGGATCCTTTGTTCCCTCAGCGGTGCTAGGTCGTCGAGCGCATGGTACTAAAAACGGCTACTCGACGGCACGAACACCGCTGAGCCTCCAGGACGTTCGGGAGTTCCAGGCCGTTCGGTATTTTATTCCCTGGAAGGCAATCGGTTCTTTTAATATGTTTTGCAATAAATGTGTTTTTCGTGCGGCGTTCGGTTATTTTAGCTGGGATCTGAGCGGTAATCTCACGAATGATGCGCTCAGACCCCAGCTATCTACCGAACGTCCATTCGTTTAAATAGACCGCATATTCATAAAGTTATACATTTTTATACGAATTGTAAGTTCTGCTGCACGGAGGGATAATCCACTTAACGGTATATTCCAGTGGGAGGATCCCTCTCGTGCAGCAGTGCCTGATGGGAGAAATGCCTTGTATTGTAAGTCCCCCATGTAGTCCCCTCTGGGACTGCCCCTGGGAGGGGACTCAGGAAACCCCTTGCATGGGGACTTGTATAAATTGTGCAGCAGAATTAAAGGACTTCAGTTGACTCTCAGAACTGTGTGTCGTCCGGTTACTGGGAGGTTGGGGATATTGCATTGTTGTTCTAGCGCTTGACTGTGGATTACTTCCTGAACCAGCGGAATTCGTGGATTTAATATTGGCGTTCCGCTACAGTGGTGCTGAATGTTTCCCTGTCAGGGGCTCGGGCAGAACTGGTCCTTTGGAGTTTCCCCTTCCAGAGGTCTGGGACGGCCATAAAGTATTTAGGAATATGGATAACAGCTAATCCTTAGACACTCTACCACCTGAATTTTCCTCCCATGGTGGCAATATTTCATAAGTTCAGAAGGATTTACCAAATTTGTCTTTGCCCCACCTCTCATGGTTAGGTAGGGTGGGGGTGATTAAGATGAATCTCCTTTCGGGCTTCCTGCATCTTTTCCAAACATTGCTTATCACAATCGTATAGCATCTTCTAACCCCTTTATAATGGCAATCTTATTTGTTTGGCACTCCCTGGCACAGCCCATGGACTTATTCTCCTTTCCCTCCCCCTTAACACCATTGGTTTTTAACCCTTCCTTTCCTCCTAGGCTGTAGCCCAAGGTTCTCATGTACGACATGTGCTTTAACCAGAAGGCTGGATCACACTACAAAACTTAGTACAGAGAACAACTCCTACCTTCATGCAGCAGTTTAGGCACCACCAGATTACTGTCTTCATACAGAAATACACACAGTGCTCCAACCTCTAATGGGAATTGACAAGCTTTGAGGAGTTGTGCCTTGAGGCCGTATGGGATGTCTTTTCTGTATTCTCTAAGTAGATATTCCACCCTACCTTTTTTGGTAGGCGTTAGGCACCTCTATTTTAGATCCACAATGGAAAAAAACTGTGAATTATTACACCATTGCTCCATTTCCAGTAAAACGCAGGAATCTGCATATAAGTTATTATCAATGTAGTACGGAACTCCACAGATTCTTAGCAGGTTTGACCCCTCTCAGGATGATGGATGTTGGAGATGTCATGATGATCTGGGCACTTTTCAACATACATGGTCTAATCAACCTTGGATTGACCCAGTCTAGAAGCAGATATATAATATAGTTAAAAGATTTCCAGACCAACCTCTGCCATTCTAATCATTCCTCTTCCACCATATCTCAGTGGCGAATTCTGCTTATTAAAAACTGTTGACTATCCGCATCTTGAACATTTCCAAACATTTAATTCCCATGATGTGGCGACAGCCTGATACGCCCTCCTTATAGGTCCAATGATGAATCTCTGCCTGTTTATTATTTTGAATAGGATCCTGAGACTAAGATATATTATTTAGATGAGAGTGTGGCTTGTTAATTTCTTTGAGCATATGTATGTACAATACGATTTCCCTCTTTTGCGGAATGTACGTGCTCTACTGTTTATTATGTTTGGCCTTTCTATTGTAAACTATCCTTAATAATCAAATATATATATAATTTTGTTTTTATTCCTGGCAATTCACACTTTAGTGAGTACGCCTGAAAATGTGCTATATTTAATCTCCTTGAATTTTTTTTATATGTGTGTATAATTAGTTTATTGCACACCCATTAAAAAGTGAAGTAAATAAAATGTTCTCTTGCTGTTAAGGTCTAAAAAGATAGGAAGTCAGTTATTTTAAAAGTTTGTACTCAATTCCTTAAAAGGAGTCAAGTCAGCTGAAATTGAATATATTAGGTTGGATACTCCTGATGCATCCACTTGAACAGCAATACAATCAAAAAGTTTGCTTGTAGACATGTTAATTAAAGAGGAACTGTCACTTCTCTGGAATTTACACAATTGTATGAAACATTGAAAATCCACTCCATCCCCCATGACAGAACTGATATCAATCCTCAACCAACCTTCCTTATCCTTTGAGATTAGACATACACATAAATGGGAACATTACTCACCATCAGATTTGGTCCCAAACACAGATATTTAATTTATGATGCAATTTAACTATTTCCAGTTGGTTAATTTTATTTCCAATTTACTCCGCTCCACTAATGCCAACCGTGCATTAACACTCTTCGAACGTATGTTTACACATCCAATCGACCTGGTATCTCACTGCTATATAACATGCCCTTCCTTTCTATGCAAGATTTGGGGAAAGAGATCTGGGCATCATCATTGATAATAAACAATGGAATAAGGTTTTTACATTCACTCATAAATCTTTCATATGCACCAAAGAATAGGAAACAGGTTATACATTTCTCACTTAGTGATATCCGACCCCTGAAAAGATCTCTGCCTTCTCCTCCATGATAAACCCAGAATGCTGGAGGTGTGGTGGAGAACTCAGTTCTCATATACCTCTATACATATCTGGTGGAAATGTTCATGCATCCAGCCTCTCTGGAAACAAATACATAAGATTGTATTATGACTATCATATGCATCCCTCCCTTTCTCACCAGAATTCTTCCTTCTACACTTATTTACTGGCAAATACAAAATGTTACCACATCTCATAAATGCAGCTTGCCATTTCAAAGCGGTGCACTGGAGCCCCATCATTTAGGGATTAAATGATCTGCATTCTATAGCTATTATGTCTACCTGGCTACTCTCCTTGAGTCAAATTTTCAGGTGATCCTCTTATGCTTCTCATCTACATATCTCTGGTGCCTTCTGCGAACTGGGAATAGGTTTTCTTGTGGGTGGATGGATGTTCCTCTCCTTAGTGGCATATCTTACTAATTCTACTCCCTTCCTTCTTTTATGTCTCTTTCCCCCCTTCTTTTTTCGTTTTTCTCTCCTTCAATAGAGGGTTGATCAGTATTTAAATTCCAACTTCAAATTCCAACTTGGTTTAAAAGATGCACATGCAGTCATGATGTGGTATAGTCACAATAACCCATCTAATTGTACCTCCACTTGTCTTTGACAATGATTTATAATTTTGCACATTGATCCTAGATGTACATGTTATTGTTTGACACTGTCATTATTCTTGATTATATATAATGTTTGATTATCTGACGCTCAATAAATATTGAATTGTAAAAATAAAAAGATACATTGAAAATTACCTATAACTTGTCTTAACATTTTTTTTCAGGATATGCTCTATTTTCTATAACATTTATTTGCAAAGATTAGCAAATTACATCAGAATCCACTTCAGGTAAGCAAAGCCATGGCATATATTTCTAATGAGAAATACATTTTTTTTTTAAATTTTTTCCCCTTCTCTGTATTCTTTCTCTATGCTGACTGCCAGGTGCAAAGGACAGAGCATAGAACAATGGCTGACAAGATGGAGGTATTCACGTGCAGGATAAAGAGGTGTGTATTTCTACATTTAATTTTATTTTTCACACCTAACAAATACATATGTTTTAAATATAGGTATATAATAAACAAATTATATCCATAAATACAATACCGCATTTTTATATATAATAAACATAATATTAAAACTCCTGTGCAGCAACAGTTATCCATTAAATAAAGTAATACAAATAATAAATAAGAAACAAATAAATGATAAAAAAACAATGATCCACAAGTCTCCTGTCTTATTGATTATTCTACTATTCACCAGAGCTTTTCAGAATCCATCCAAAATCCATTCATCCAAAGACCTATCTTTTATATCTTAGTTCTCCTGTCCTACCAGTTCTCTGTTTATTGTCATGGCAATATCAGTTATAGATAATAATAGTATTAAGTGGATGGGCTTGCTATATGCTCGCTCTCTGATTTTCTTCCTGTAAGCTTTAAAAATGACAAAACGTGTCAAGTAATTCCTGTAATAGAAGTGAGAACCTTGCAGCTGCCTGTAAACTAATACCACGACATTTCATTTTCTATTTTTCATAATTAGTTGGAAACCATAAGTGTAGAAATCTAACATATGTTAACATATTTCTAAATAGAACAATAAAGCTTTCTAATTATGAGGGTGAGAAGGTGGAAGCTAAATAGTACTATTATTATAGTATACTATTATTATAGGTAGTTAATTTACAATATTAGATTCACATTCACAATAAAATTATATTTCTTGAAATTGCAGACTCCATTCAACATTAAAATTTTACTTGTATGGTTCTTAGGAACAAAAACACTGAAATATAATCAGTATATATCACCCAAAACTGGCAAATGTGTTATTTTTCAGTTGCTAATTTATAGGGAAAAACATATATGATATTGTCATGCTAGTGTTTTAGTAAGGTAGGCTGTAGCTCCCTAAAGCTTTCATAGTGAAGATTATAAAAGAGACAGTAATATATTATTGAATTCTTGCATTCCTGACACATAAAATAAGCTTTCTTTATTTGCAAAAGCACAAGTTATATTTACAAAGTAACAATTGCATTCTACAATGAAAAATATGATATGATAGTAGTGTGACTGACCATCTGGTCATTTAGAACTTGTACATGGCTCCCAACCACCACCTACCACCTGCTTCTAAAAGAACTATGATCACACACATACTCTCTCCCTCCAGGCCATGCCTCCCAGCTCAGCATCTTATTCAGCGTTCTTGGAGACGTCAGAACCCCGTAGGGAACTTGAAGATTCACAGCATTCCTGACCTGGGAGCATTCTACAAAACACCTGGGACTCCAAATCAGATCACCGAGTTGCTGCAAACTGGCAAGACTTCTTTGAGATCGCTCTCAGTCTCAGGACCACGAAACAGGAAGGCATCACACAGTACCAGAGACTTGAGGCAGTTCAATGTATAGACAAAAAGCACCATTGTTAAAAGGGACTTTCCACCTAGCACTATGGAACTTTGCACCGGCTCGGGAGGATGCTCGCGGCCTCATTAAAATTTCTCATGCAGACTATTTGGGCTAGTCGCCTTCGATTAGAGTGCTTTTTGGACAGAGTGGGCACTCCGGGGAGAGCTATCCGGTGCTGGCACTTGTTTGGAAATTTGGTTACAGGCAGCCACTTTATAATGTAAAAATGATATTCGGTGCCAATGTGTCTGGCCACTAATAAACTTATCTGGTCAGGTACAGCCACCTAGGTGCAATATCAATTGTTCTCCTGGTGACCCGCTGTTGGGGACCCAGCTATACAACAGTTCTACTTCACCCTAACATTAAGCCTCAACTAATCATTAGGGATACGCTATAATCACTCGGCATATAATCACTAATGAGGGAAAGGGAGTCCTTGGCTGCGACTCTGGGGTCCCTAGCAAATAGGTCACCACAAGTCAAATTAGAGATTTGTTTCAATTCCCAAACCATGAACCACAATGTAGCTGAATCCTCAACAAATGAAGCACTCAATGGACTTGTATGTTTGTTTTGATTCATGGTTCAGAATTAAGGCATCAAAAAAGAGATGAATTATGGGGGAAAAAAAGTTGAAATAGGGCTAGAGTACAGTCACTATATATCAATTATATTCACAGATTAAGTGCAAACTGACCAATAGTTCTATATATTTAATACATATATGTGTAGAAGAATCTTACAGGGAGGCTCCAAGGCTAGCCTCTTACCCATAGACTATGGACTAAACTCTATGGGTAGGAGGCTACGTTTCAAGCCTATCAACTTGAACAAACATCCAGACGTGTATTTGAGTGATACATCCACAAGGAAACAGTAAAAACCACCAACCAGCTTAACTCTGTGGAGTACAAGCCAATGTGGATAACAAAGGAAAACCCAAATCAGTGTGGACGACTGTGAGTGCAGCTTTCCCCACCAAGCCTTAGAACACATGGTAAATATCCTGGAATTTTACCAAGGCTTTACGGATAGAACTGCCTTGCCGCAAGGCAGCAAACTTGACTAGTAATGTTGTGAGTACCCACAAACATTGTGGAGCATGCCGCTCTGAGCCCTAGTAATCAAGACACTTGTCCTGTCTAATATAAATAGTTAATGGTATACTCTATCCAGTGGTGCCCTTAGATTGAGGGAGCTCCTCTCTACAAAAAGCTTCTGTTTTTTGGTTTCTCCCTAGTATACACAATTCAGACCACACATACTGGCACCAGGGTTGTGTATGTGCCTAGCACTCTAGATCTCATGGTGTCACTGCAGTCTCACAAAAGGTTCTCACACTATTTTACATGTTTTGTGATGCCTCTATGTAACACCTTGTACTGTATGAATATGTTGTTCAATAAACCAGTATTGTCTTTTTCCTCCACTTGACTAGTGTTTGAGTACAAGATGGGAAGAACTATTCATCAATTTATCCAGTATTTGGTTGATGTTGGGCCACTATCACTGAAGAAGCTCAGGATGCTAGGTGAATAACCATAAGGTACCAGACTGCTGCTCTAGCTTCTATAGATCTCTTGTGGCATGAAGAAGGAATGTACACATTAGAAGGTTCAGGTCTAGATCCAAAGTCAGGGACCAGCAACCCTGTTTCTGTTACAATATCAATATAGTTTTTCCTACTCATTTTCCGTATATTAATTATTTTTTTTCTTCTGATTTGTGAAAAAAATGGCGATAATTTGGGCTATCAGAATGATGTAAAATATATATTTTGCAGTACACTAAATGGCCCAATGTCCAGCCATTCTGGTTCTCCTGATCAGCCACAACATTAAAATCATCTGCCCAATATCGTGTAGGTCCCACTCGTTCTGGCAAAACTGCTCTGATGCCTTGAGGGTTGGACTCCACAAGACCTCTGAAAATTTTCAAAGATATTAGCTGCAAGTCCTATAAGTACTGTAAGCTGCGAGGTGGGCCTCCACGGATCAGATCTGTTATTCTAGCACATCCCACAGATGCTCAATTGGATTGAAATCTGAGGAATTTGAAAGCCAAGGCAACACCTTGAACTCTTAGACATGTTCCTCAAACCATTCCTGAACAATTTATGCAGTGTGGAAGGGTCCAATATCCTGCTGAAACAGACCACTGCCATTAGAGAGTACCACTGCCATGAAGGCTTATACATGGTCTACAACAATCTCTAGGTAGGTGGAAACATCCACATGAATGCTAGGACCCAAGGTTTGCGATTAGCACATTGTCCAGAGCATAGCACTGCCTCTGCTGGCCTGCCTTATTCTCATAGGGCATGCTGCTACTCACACAACTGACCATCCACCTGATCTAAAACAAAATGTGATTCATCAGATCAGGCAACCTATTTCCATTGCTCCATGGTCCAGTTCTGATGCTCACATCCACATTGAAGGCACATTTAGAGGTAAACAGGAGTTATCATGTGCACTCTGATCGATCTGCAGCAACGCAGCCTTATACACAGAAAACAGCAATGCACTGCGTGTTTATGGCCAGTTTTAACTTTTTCAGCAATTTGAGCTTCTGTAGCTCTTCTATGTGATTGGCAAGCCTTTGCTCCCCACATGCATCAATGAGCTTTGGGCACCCATCTCCCTGACACTGGTTTACTGGTTGTCCTTCCTTGGTGATGGACCGCCTGGCACCCCAACCGGGTGCCTCATCCAACCGATGCTCCTGGTGCTCACCAAGGACTCCAAGCACTCCACCCGACACCATCAGCATTGTAGTCCCCAGGTCCAGCATTACAGCTTGGCTGGGAACTGGCCGTCCTCCACACCCTGGACCCAAGACCAGGATCCAGCTTCCAGTGGGCAGACCTCTCCTGCTCCAGAGAGTATAGCAGGAGCGAAGACCAGGATCCAGCTTCCAGTGGGCAGACCTCTCCTACTCCAGAGAGTATAGCAGGAACAGCTCTTAAAAGAGCTAGTGATTATAACACTCCAAAGAGCAATCCCAAGAGCAGGGATTATACTTTTGATGTTTATAGTGGTTCCCTCAATCATGAGACGAGGCTCTGTGTTGAGGGTAAGCAGGAACTGAATTGTAATGGTGCCACAGTGGCCTTTTATGACAATGCCCATGCAAGAGGTATGCCCACATGGACCTTGTTGGGGACTCCAACACAAAGACATGGTCCAATAAGAACAGTGATTAAATGCACAACACTCTCATAACAAACATACAACCCCTCCCCTCTGCCTGGGAGATAATTGAGTTAGATACTATATCAATTCAATTATCTCCAGGCAGAATAAAAACATATTTTACAAAACCCCAAAAGTACCTCAAAACACATGATATCCCCACAATTGTTACATCACCTGATAGCCTTGCTCTGGGTGACCAACATATCCAAAATCACCCAGATCAGTTCAAGGGTTTAAGAATTCTATGAAAGTCATATTTTGACCAACCGCACACATGGTCCCATGCCCAAAACAGTTCCAGAGAATCAGGCTGTGCGGCCGGTCTACTTCAGGGATGCGAACTACAGTTTGAAATACCAAATGTAGCCGTTCGTGAGTACAGCCAGTTTATGTCTCTTGGTCGGGAGTTTCTTCTTATCGAAAGCTGTTCGACTCCCGTTCAAATAGCCGAACATCCATGGAAGGTAAAGTTTAGTGCTGTTCGTGCTGTCGAGTGTCCAATTTGAGTTCTATGCACTCGACGACCAAACACCGCTGGATGCGTTCGACTAAACAAGATGGCCGCCGCCACGTGTTTGAATGCCACTTTTAATGGCTTTGAAAGTTCGAATTGTTCCTGTTAGAAGTTCAAGAGGCACAACTAGAGTCTTTAACCCAAAATTCATTACAGGGGCCATAGTCACAGGGCAGGAGGCTGGCAAACAGGCCCCTCCAAAAAACAGTGGCAAAGGTACTAACCACTGTATACTGGGAATACACCAAAAAACTGACACACTGTCATGGGTAATAACCCCAACATGCAGAGTTTAGGGTAACAGTAACAGACTGAGCTAAAATTACTTTTTAATTTACTATTAATTACCGGTCCATACTGTGGCCAGGTTTAGCTTACAATAGAGAGGGCATTAAGTCGGAAATTATGTTATGCCCCCTGTGTGTCTTTAAGAATGTGCTACGTATGCGAGCAGGCTTGAGGACTGTTTAAGTATCGTTACACACATACACACTGACACATATATAAGTAACATGTAACATAATTTTAGCAATCTCATGCTTATTTACCTTTTGAATGCAGGATGATGGCTTCTCTGGGGTCTAGTGGGAGCTTTCTTGCTAAGTCTGATGGGAGTCTGAGGTTCCAGGCTTCTACTCCCTCTCTTGTTTGTATGTGTGCCTGTTTCTACCTCTCCACATGGCAAGCTGGAAGGAAGTGACCTGAATTTACTTTCTCCCGGCAGACCACTAGAGAATCTAATGCTGTGATGTGCGTTCGGTTCACTTTTAAAATCTTGTTGGACCCCTTATCTGAGAGCATTCATGAGTACCACAATCACTACTAAAGTACAAAATGTGTAGGCCATATGTTTGACAACCCTGCTGCACTACTGGAGTGCAGCTATGCAACTAGAAGTAAAATGTTAAGGCAATTGCATGGATATTCTTTCACTACTTGAAAACCTTTGTCCTTGGATGTTTGTATTAGATCATGTGCACGATGGCTTACTATTTCCCGGAACTATCTTCTGAAATGTAAAAAGAATTTCTAAATAGAAACTTTGTAATCAATAATTCAAAAAAGAAAGATTTTCTGCATGAGTCACAATCAGATCAATGACCAAAAAAAATAAGCTGATAAAACTTGATGGTACTAAGCTATCACTACTCAATAGCAAAGATGCATTTCTCAAATGCATGACTGTAGGAATTAAAATTGCATGGATGAACTCTGAATTTCAATAAATTGCCTTGAACCATAAAACTAAGTCTTCTGAAAAGAAACACCGTGAAGACAGAAATCTACTTCCAGAAACACAAAGATAATTTGTAAACATATTTCAAGAGTACAGTATCGCTTTTAAAGTTTTCTATTTTTTTTTATTTTTTTTTATAAGCTTTTCAAATGAGAAAAAAACTAAATTCACATGTCAGGGTAACTAATTAGAAATAGTATCAAACATGGCCTGCAACACATGAAAGAGAGTGATTTAGACTGAAACTTCAAAATACAACCGTGTGTGCACCCCAAATAAACTCGAATCCTACTCTAGATAGGTCTTAATAATTTTATAGAGATTAAAAACAGAAAAAAAGTTTGTGTGCACAGTCTCCAGTACTGTAGATAAACAAAGTCTCTCAATACACGTCTAATAAATATGAAGCAAAGTAATGATCCAAATATAGTAGAGTCAGGACAGATGAGGGGGTAACCCTTGATAAGATAATACAATATAAGAAGAGGGAATCTATCCCAATATAGGGATAACATTTAAATGTTTATTAGATTTATTACACGTGTGTTGTCAATATATCTTTAATATATTACTAATAAACATTTAAATTTGATCCCTATCTTGGGACAGATTCCATCTTCTTATATTGTCTCTCAAAACATGCATCACTAAATTAAAAAACATATATTATGCCACAAAAGAAGAAAGTGAGTCTGGTGTTTATTTCTTTAGTAAAGATCAAAAAAGAAGAAAGTAAGTCTAGTGTATCCAGACTTACTTTCTTCTTTTTTGATATTTATTATATAAATTGGTTGAGTTTATAAATTGCATGCTTTATTTGGTTGGGTTTATAAATTGTAATAGGCCCAGTGAACTGGATATAGCAGACCTCTATGATGGCTCCTTATCCATCTTGATAAAGTATCTCAACAGAGACGAAACACGTAGACTTTGGGATTTTATATTACCAGGATCCAGTTTGTGTGCAGCAATCTTTGGATCTCTGTTCTGTACATACCGCTACTTTACTGCTAGTTTACTGGAGGCTTCAAGCAGGGTTGTCAGGAGTCAGGAGTGAGCAGACTGGGGACATGTCTGGGCCCTACAAACTCCCCTTTATCTGCTCCTTCAAGCTTCTTGGATTGTGTTCTTTGGCTGGATTCAGTCCTCTATCTTTCTTACAACGGTCAGGTACTTTGGGGAAAAATAATCACAGCCCCTATAAAATGTATGGTTTAGAGAATTCATATATGCTACTTTTGATGTTTATACATGTGTTTATTGCATTATTAAAGGAACACTACATCATCAGGAAGAAACACATCTATTCCTGACCCTCTGGTGTTAAAACCACCATCTAGCTTCCCTGCTCCTCCTTGCCTCCCTAAATATAATAAAATTGTACTTGTATTCAAGTCTGAAGCTGCTGCCTCTGCCCCTGAACTGCCTC